CCCCCACCCCACCACCAGCATTTTTCTCTCTCTCTGGCTCCCTATGACTTTCACTTTCTCTCCCTGTGGCTTCCGTTGTTACCTGTCCTGTCTCTATCTTCGTCTATGTCTGTCTTTTCCCTTTCCTCAACTCTCAATCCTCTCCCTTCTTCCATTGCCCCATTAATTAAAAAAATAAGTGCCAAACTTCCTTGGAACTGAGCCGCTCTGGGGCGGGGAGGGAACCTCAGAGAGAGGGGAGGAAATGGGACCATCTTCCTTTGAAGAGGCCCCTAAGAGGCATTGAAAACGTCTGTGGACACTTAGCTCAATTGCGTCCCCCTTCCTCACCCCTCCCGCCCCCGAGTTTTTCTTAGAATCTTTGTAAGAAAAAAAAAAAGAGAAAAAAACTCTCCTTCAGCTAACCCCTAATCTTTTGGATTCCCCCCAATTTCCACCAGCCGGGGAGAACCCCACTTGCCTCCTTCAGGCAAATCTGTAGAAACTGGGGAGGGGGAGACAAGCTCAACCCCTCCTCTGCTGTCCGGAGGGACAGTGCCAACTGGATTCGAGAGAAGGACCTCAAAGCACTTATGAGAAGAAGGGGTTCAATGTGCCAAATTCACCTCCTTCATCCCCTGTCCCAGGGGGCTCTGAGCCAACCTGCCCCAGCCACGTTCTTCCGCCCTGTCCCAGCCATCTCTACGTGGGCAAGGAGGCTTCACTGCAATAATTATTAAGGGTTCAGAAGGCAAAGATCGTGCCATCTTTATCTGCCCTAATGCCTGCCCTGGACTTGTAGGTGGGAAGCATGGGTATCCCAAATGGAGTTTGGTTAAGAGTCGACTTAATAGATGGTTGCGGACCTATACTTGGAAGAATACGGTACCACTCTTCTCTGAGTGGTATACCTTCTCCCCTTCTTAACCCGCAAATCACTCAACATCCCCTTGTTCCGTTTCTCCTGCCTATTCCTCCATCCCCCACCCTCTTTATTTTGTTTCTGATTGGTGGCCTACTGTTTGGAAAGTGAGAGGATTCCCCTGCGTTGAGTATTGCTCTGTCAAGACCAGGATTAGACGTTGTGATAGACTGAGAGGTGGAAAAAGTATTGAGTGTAAGAGTGGCGATGAGGATGGCATTTGGGGCTTCCAGGCTGCTGATTGGGTGCACACCTATCACCACAGCCAGGCAGGCCTTCGCTGTTGGCCACGCACCTGCCCCCCTGTCGTCTGGAACCCCAAGGCCGGCTGTCGCGAAAGCCTGAACTGGATGTCACGATGGGGAGAACGGGATCGCGATGCCCACGTTGGGGCACTGCGGGCCAGGGGCGCTTGTTTTACGGCTCTCGTGGAGTCGCGACACCCAGCCCGGCTATCGCGATCCCTCTCCACTGCAGTC